GAAATATGTCAATAATAGTTAAATGCATCCACAATATATTAACAAAAGTCACAGATTCGTAATATGGAATATTTCTATACCCTAACCAATTTTACACGCTAGATATACTAAATAAATTTATTTCGATGTAAATTTTTAAAATTATATTGTTTTAAAAAAAGAAATTGTTTAAAAAAATCTTTTTAACAAAATTCTTTATGATATTAATTTATGAAGCTATAAGTTTAGTTTTAGCAAAAAATTCTTCGAAGTTTATATTATCTTTGCAAATTAAAGTATACTAATATTTAATCAAGCTCTATTTATATTACTTTATCTAAAAAAGAAATACTAATCTAACAAACAATAAAATATACAAGAAGAAACAAACACATGTTTGAAAAACATGTATAATATAGAAAATTTGAAACAATCTATTTGATTAAAACACGTAGTCTATAATATTATTATGTCTGAAAAAACATTTACTATACATATCGTAAATATGTGCTTAATATAATATATACCAATTTACAAGTGAAAAAAATATATTTATAAACGAAAAAAATACCCGCGCGGTTGCGCGGATTAAAATCTAGTTATCATTTAAAATGATGATGTCCTAAGCGGTCGCTTATCTCGCCTGTATTTCGGACCGGCCTCTGCACTTCTGAAGAACACTGCACATCTGAAGAAATTGTGCTCTTTTCTTTGAAACTGTTGAAATGTATTTTTCAAAAAAGGTAGAGACGGACAGCGTGCATGGTGGTTATAGTTAAAAACAGAAGTGGATGTGAGAGGGCTGCAAGTAAAATTTCCCAGAGCCACTCTGCAGAAGTAAGCAGGAATAACATTTTGGAAGGCCTAGGTGATTGTGTGCGCAACAGTGTTAACCATTTCTTGATGAGCAGGTTGTCCTGTGACTGAACCCTCTGTTTCCAAGGTCTATGAAAAGCGATGTGTTTTGTGCTTTTGGAGAGCCATTCACAATTTCACAGTATTTTCGTCATCATCTGAGCGGTAAGAAAATTTGACCTAGCTATTAGTAACTTTCTTCCCACCCTCACTTTCTCCTGATTCACTATTTTGGATAGTTACCTAATGATCAAAAACCTCTTGAAGATTTTATCAGATCACATGTCTCAGTATCTAGCAAGGAACGCTTTGACTAGGTCACAGCATGTAAAGAGCAACATTTCAATCCACGATATAACTAAATATCTACTTTACTAGAGTAGTGAGAGAGTCCTAAGGAAATAAGCAGGGACTTGTGGGATTCTCACCTAAAACAAAATTTTTGCTTCAATCGTAAAAGCTTAATTTTTCTTTGCTCCCAAGAACACGTATTGCCGTAACAAGTGTCTTAATAACCAAGCCTTTTGGTCCATGTTGGTGAACTCCAAGGAAACAAGACATGTGAACTCTAGTATAGATAAAAGGAAACAAGGCATTACAAAAGTGATACATAAGTTACGTATTCAAAAATATGAAAGAAATGCTAATGTGTAGAAAGTTTATCATACTGAAACAATCATTTGTTTGTAGACATGATCAATAACACAGACGCATGCAGTTTATGAGTTACCAACACCATTGTATCCAGCTGAGATTTACAAAAAGGTCACAATCTGTTCATCATTTACAAACTCAAATCGGTCATTGTAAATTCTAAATGCCTTCTCTAAGCCTAATTTACCAAACCCCAATAAAGTTAAACACTATCACAAATGTAGAACCGATATACAAACCAAGACTCATAGGCAAGCAACTTGCAGCAACATCAAGCCAAAAAATCAAAATACGTGACAAGGATTGATGAAATAGGTGAATGTAACCTCCAAATGATAGAAATCATAAGTAGTTTGGACATGATCATAGACTAAGAAGTTTTCGAACAAAAGATGCTGAGCCCATTAACGGCAATACTATTGTGAAGGATATTTAATCAAACTCATGAGCATCCTCTTGAAGCCCAATCTCAAAATTCCTGGCAAATATTTTGAGACATCTTAAAAACTTGTTTGAGCAATATCATTTGCATGATTTAAACTTTTCATCATAAGTGATGATTTTCAGTAAACTATTACAAAGTTACATCTTACAAAATTTGTAGATTATTATGTTAAGACCAGATAAACTAAACCGAATATTGAGTTTTTGGTTTATGTAAGAATTCTAACCAAAAACCGAAACCTTAGAAGACAAATTAGATTAGCTAACCAAGTCAACCGGGAAGATCAATTGGTAGTCTCGAGGCTGGCTTATTCAGACAAGTTGCTGAATTGTTTAATTGACCGGGCAGATGCCCGAAACATCCACTTTCATTGAAAATATCATCTGCCCGCTGACCAGAAAGATTTCTTTCTTTTTATAGAAAAATAAATTCCCAATCTTTTTATTTCCATTTATATTTATATTACCATCCCCTAGTGGTATCATCCTCCATTGACCTAATTACGAAGCCTTATATATAAACCAAACCTACTTTGCATATCCTCATATAACTTTAGAAGCCTCCTTTGTGTCTCCTCCTTATTCCATCTTCTTTTGTTTGGTCTTTCTCTTTCGTTTTAGTTTTAAGCTACTCTTCAACTCCACATAAGGTGTTGCTTGTATATATGTATTCATTATCTGTTGGTGATGTTTATTGTAGGATATATATAATTTTAATCAAAAAGTTGGTCTTGTTGGAAAGATCTATTAAACATTCTAGGTTTTATTAGTTTTTCTATGGTTTTATTCAAGTAATAGGTTATCTTCCTCCAAGTTTTTCATATTTGATATGATACTGTATATTGAATCAACTTCAAAATAGTTTGGATATGACTATATGATGTGCAAAAATCTTCCATCCGCATGTCATGTCGTTTTCGTAGGCAGAGCGGCCATCTTTTGCATATATTAACCTTTTAAATGCCTTTTATCATGTTTGACCCTTGGGAGTGTAAAAGATCGATATTTTCAATATCTAATCTTCATAATATTGAAATCGAACTTTTACCTATGGCATACATTATTACTCTCTCGATGTCTTATAAGTTTATTCTCAGTATATATCTTTAAGTTCGACTTTAAAGTTTTATGATTTTTCTTTCTTATCTTCTACTATGTTTGTTTGCTTTTCAGTTTTAAGAATTTTTTTCTGTTTGTTAAAAGCTTTTGTTATAAGATATAAGCCAATTTGCAGAGCAATGACGTCAATATATAAAATGGCGTGAGTTGCCTTGAAGGTTGGCAATAACAAATAAGCGATTCTCCGTGCCTATCAAGTATTTTCATATTGATCGTGGCCTCGAACAAGTCGCTACATTCACTATCTTGTATCAACTCTTTAGTCCCAAAAAATGTGTACGTACATTCACTATCTTGTATCAACTCTTTAGTCCAAAAACAAAGGTTATACAACCAACGACTATCATAAAGCAAAAAAAAATTATATATATTCGTAGTAAAAAAAATTACCATAAATATATAAAAAAATTAGTTTTACACCTAAGATTCCGATGAAAAGTGTTGGGATAGTATCCATCTTCAACTGTAAATAGATAATTCTATAATAAGTAGAAGTTAATTTACATTTGAGAAATGCAACAGAACAATAAGTTGAGAAGGAAGACTTATCTTCCTCCAAGTTTTTCATATTTGATATGACATATGAATCAACTTCAAAATAGTTTGGATATGACTATATAATGTGCAAAAATCTTCCATCCGCATGCCATTTTGTTTTCGTAGGCAGAGCGGCCATCTTTTGCATATATTAACCTTTTAAATGCCTTTTTATCATCATGTTTGACCCCTGGGAATGTAAAAGATCGATTTATCAATATCTATTTTCAGTAATATTGAAATCGATTTTTTACTTATGGCATACATTACTATTCTCTCGATATCTTAAGTTTGTTCTTCAGTATCTATAAGTTCAATCTTAGTTTTCTTCTTCATCTTCTACTATGTTTGTGGCTTTTCAATTAAGATTTATCTTGATTGTTAAAAGCTTTTCTTCTATAAAGAGATTAGCCAATTTGCAGAGCAATGACGTCAAAATATAAAATGGCGTGAGTTGCCTTGAAGGTTGGCAAGAGCAAATAAGCGATTCTCCGTGCCTATCAAGTTTTTCTCATATTGATCATGGCCTCGAACAAGTCGCTACATTCACTATCTTGTATCAACTCTTTAGTCAAACGCACTATATTCTTCGGAAGAAAAGCCAATTACCATAAACCGTGAACACTATGGACTCTTGCTCGGACAAGGAGACATGCCAAAAAAATCAGTTATAATTCTTTGGAAGCAAATATTACCATAAATAGAAAAATCTTTTATTGACATTTTTAATTTAATTCCTACTCTTCCAATGAAAAGTGTTGGGAATTGGGATAGTATCTATCTTCAACTGTAAATAGACAATTCTATAAAAAATTGAAGTTATTTTACACTTGAGAAAATGGAAAAGAACGATAAGTTGAGAAGGAAGAACCTATTATGACCAAAGAGTCTTCATAAGCTGCAGAGACCAATAAAGAAAAACAAGAACACTATGACCAATAAGCCAGAACAAGCGCCCCCATTTGCTTTGTGTCCTGGTTTACCGCCATTTCCATTGTATTGTCTCCAGGTGTATTATCTTCAGGGCCAATTTGGTCACTTACTGTTTCTGGACCCCCGTCTGTTTGGTCAGTGTATAAAGAAATTTAGAACTGTTCTTTTGAAGCAGCAAGAGTTATATAAGCTCTCTTTCGGGAGACTAGTCTTGGTAAAACGAAAGAAATGTGAAGATAATTTACTGGTCACAATGAATGTTAAGCAAAAAAAGAAAAGAAATATCCAAAGCTCCTCTGTTTCGACTTTCACAGGTCAAAGTCAATGTCTTCTTCTTTAAAGTACTGATGAATCCGAACCGGGTTTGATTCTAAACCCAACCACCTTGTAACCGTAACCAAAACCGGTTAGATCAAATACATATGGGAGCTTAATACGTTACAAACTAATAATATGAGGACCCTGACTATTAATAAAAAAAAAAAATTCGTTTAAACGAAAGCACAAAAGTGAACGATTCGTTCTTTCTTTATCCGAATTTACAAAAAGTAAACGAACTGCCATAGGGTTGCTTATTCAGTCCGAACGAAAAGAGAAGAAGAGATGGGTTCAATGTTCAGTGGAAACCGATTGAACAAGGAAGAGATGGAAGTTTTCGTGAACAAAGCCAAAGACATCGTCTCCTCTCACCCTGTCGTTGTCTTCAGGTTCTTACTCATTCAAACTTCTCGATTAGTTTCTGTCTTTTATTTTACTCATACATACCGTTGGACTTGGATCTTCGTTGGCTTTGTAGGATTCAGTAGAATTATATCATAGTAACAGAAGATTGATCTCGTTTGTTTTCATATAACACTAATCGTCAGTTCCTTTTGAAATCTCATGTTATAGTAAAACTCTTACAAATATAATGGATGATTGCTTAGGTTAGGGGTCATCAAAGTTAATTTATTTGCTTTATATGTATATACTACTTGACTCATTTCTTTGTTATAGTATGAGTCTTTGAGGGTTTGATCCATGTCTTGTTTTGCAGCAAGACTTACTGTGGTTATTGCCAGAGGGTGAAACAGTTGTTGACACAGCTAGGTGCAACTTTTAAAGTACTTGAGCTTGATGAGATGAGTAAGTAACCCAAAATCTCTGTCGATATCCTTGTAATGATATTATTGGTTCATGGTAATTTACAACTGATTATTTTACATTTTGTAGGTGATGGAGATGAGATCCAATCAGCTTTATCTGAGTGGACTGGACAGAGCACTGTTCCTAATGTTTTCATCAAAGGCAAACATATCGGTGGATGCGATCGTAAGAGAAAAAAACTATACAAACTCTCTCTGCATATTAATGGAGATTGCTGTAAGAACTAACTAATAACATTTGGTTGTTTGTTTCTATGTATTTGCAGGAGTGATGGAGAGTAACAAGCAAGGCAAGCTTGTCCCTCTTCTTACTGAAGCTGGTGCGATCTCCAATTAACTCTTCCCAGCTTTGATGAAAACTCTGACAAAGGAAGTGAAAGAAGAGTGTTATGTTTATATTACCAAGTAACCAAATAAGGTGTTGTGTTATTACGATAACATTGCTTCTGAAGTTTGATTATGTAAATCAAGAACTATGTGTTGATTTTACCAAAACACAATCTTGAAGCTCTTATTAAAAAAAATATAGCAATTTTTTAAAAGGATCAAGAAGCTTCAGAGCTCAGTTTCAGGTGTCCATAACCGAAGAAGCTTATCATAAAACGAGCAAGTAGCCACAAGACTTCCCTTCTGATCTTTCCCCTTATACCAATCTGCTCCATAAGCAAGAGACTCATGCTTGGTATAACTCTCCAACACTTCTCCCTTCCCACCACCAACTTTCACTACAGCAAAACCATTATGCATACAAGCCGCCAACACAACACCACTCAGAGAGGGATGATGCTTGATTCTCCACACACCTCCACCTAAAGACACCGATACTTCATTCACAGGTCTAGACACAGACCTTGTGTCCCAAACCCTCAAGGTCTCATCATAACTCCCAGTGAATATAGAGTAAGGATCTTCAGGACTCGGTGAAATGCAGCAAACACCCATTGTATGAGCTTTAGAATTCTGAAAAACCCGATTGGTTGCTGGATTATCTCTGATGTCCCAGCAGCAGAACTTGCAATCATCTGATCCGGTGTAGACTAAACTAGGGTTGTTGAGATCAAATGAAGCTGTCCAAACCTCGAAATCGTGTCCTTTCCATTCTTGGACTGTTTCTAGATTGGAATCAGTGAATGAAACTACAGAAGCAGAGCCATCTGATAAACCTACTACAATTGATGTTGATGATTGGTCCCAATCTAGATAAAGACACATTGATGAACTGATTTTTTCACCAGCTACTTCTCTCAGGGAGTAACCTGTTTCAAAAGCATGAAACTTTTAACTCAGATTGTTTCAAGCATAGAACTTTAAACTCAGATTACAAGCATTAATTAAACATAGGTTAGAACAGTCTTAAGACCAAACAACTAGTTTGTTCTGTTTCAAGCATAAAACTTTTAACTCGGATTACAACTAACTAACTAAACATAAGTTAGAACCGTCTTAAGACAAAACCAACAATTGTGTTCTGTTTCAAGCATAAAACTTTAAACTCAGATTACAACTTTCAAGCAACAAAATAAACATAAGTTAGATCCGTCTTAACACCAAACCAAAAATTGTGTTCTGTTTCAAGCATAAAACTATTAACTCAATCAACCAATTAAACATACATTAGATCCGTCTAAACACCAAACCAACAATTGTGTTCTGTTTTAAGCATAAAGCTTTTAATTCAGATTACAAGCAACCAATTAAGTTAGATCCGTCTTAAGACCAAACCAACCAGTGTGTTCTGTTTCGAGCATCAAACTTTTAATTTAGATTACAATCAACCAATTAAATATACGTTAGATCCGTCTTAACACCAAACCAACAATTGTGTTCTGTTTCAATCATAAAACTTTAAACTCAGATTACAACTTACAATCAACCAACTATACATAAGTTAGATCCGTCTTAAGACCAAACCAACAAGTGTGTTCTGTTTCAAGCATAAAACTTTTAACTCGCATTACAACCAACTAAAAACATAAGTTAGAACTGTCTTAAGACAGAACCAAAAAAAGTGTGTTCCTTTACTGCAATATCCACAAAGTTATTACCTTTGTCTTCAGTATCATCAACCTTGTAAACTCTCAAACACCCATCAGCATCAGCTTGAGCAAGCGCCAAGCTTTCACCTCCACCGCGGCTCCAACGGATATCGAAGACTCCGGTGGTTTCTACTTTATGTAAGAGATTCAAGCTACCGTTTTCGACGTCGAAGAGGTAGATGGAGCCGGATCGAGAAGGGAGATCTCCTTCTTGGAGTGTGTAGGTAGAAGCTGCAAGCAAGTTCGTGTAAGGCTCGTGTGGACAGAACTCGACTGCGTCTGCGTTTCCTTCGAGGTAGCAATGTGCTGCGTCCATGGGGAGTCTCTCTCTCTCTCTTTCTGCTTTTTCCCGGCGGCTAAACAAACGAAACAGAGGAATTAATGGCTAATAAGAAGAGAGCGGAACGACGTCGTATTTGGAGCCGATAGTAATTTGTTTAATCCTTCATCCGGTTAAGTTAAGTCAGATTGAACCGGTTAAGATTTATCGCTGACGATTGCTACCTCGACAGCTAAGCAGTGGAACAAGTGCGATGCGGTTCAAATAGTAACAAAAATTTATAAATATATAAATATATATAGGTTCCGAATGATAATATGTGCGATAACTGCGGTTCAGTGCGGTTCAAACAGTAACAAAACATATAGAAATATTTAGAGTTGATGTTTTATGGTTTAAAGTTAATATTTTATTTAATATTTATTTTATATATATATAAAGAACAAGAATATAAGAGTTTTTTATCCTTTAATAAAATGTGTATTTTTAAAAATGTTCATTTGTTGATGGTAAACATGAAAAGTGGTACCGTAGAAATATAAGTATATAGAAATATTAGTATATAGAGATTTTTATCATTATTCACAGCAGTGCGGGGTAGGACGGTTGGTTATTCGATATAGACTCTGAATGGTAACGTACAAGATAACTGTCATCCAAGTACGATACGGTTCAAATAGTAATAAAAATATATAGGTATAAGTAGAGATTTTTGCTATTATTCATAGTGGTGTAGAACGGGACAGTTGGTTACCATTCGAAATCGTTGTAATTTTTGTGGTGCGGGGTGGAGCGGTCACCATTCGGAACCTTAAGACTATAATAAGAAGACGCGAACGAGGTCGTCTTCGGAGCCGATAATAGTTTGGTATAATCTAACCGAGTGAAACAGATTAATCCCGGTTAAGTCAGACCAACCGGTTCCCACGATTTAATTGAAATTCAACCCTTTAGAAAGCGATTGCGGCGGAGAGGAAGAAAGATCGGAACTTTATCATTTTCACTAATTGTGGAGATTCGATACTGTATCACTGTTTCATCTATGGAAGCGATAGAGAATTCAGAAAAAACTATCCCAGGCGTAAGTTTGCTTCTCTCTCTCGATCGACGATTCATTTAGAGTTTAATTGTTCAAATGCATAGAATGGATCGTTCGGACATGGAACACTTTAACATTAGTTGTATTGTTTTGTCTCATTTCTCTGTGATAAGTTCATTCTAAGAGGGCAAATGAGTTAACGATTCGTTGTTTTTAGCGTGTTCTTTTGTGATTGATAGAGTTAGGGTTTTGAAGTGGTTTATTGGTTGTGATTGATATTATTATTACATGGAAACAGAACTCTTCAAGATTAGCTGGAAATCCAAACTGGGGAACAGCAACTGTTGTCGGGATTTTCGCTGGAATGTTATATGGAGGAAGCAAAGAGGCTTCTGCTTCTGTGGTATGTCTCCTTTCAATTTATTCATTTTTTGGTAAAATAAAAGATGGTTTCACCTCTTTCCCACCGCGAGTTGAACTCAAGTGGCAGAAGTTACAGCCGCAACCCCTTTACCACTAGACTAACTCGACATTGCTTCTACTCTCAATTTATAAAAGAAGGTTCTTTTTTATGCAAATTTCCTCGTAACTTGTGTTGGTGATTTTGAAACAGAGCAAGGATGCAGAGGTGATGTTGAAGATGGGAAGTACACAGGACAAGCGAGAACAACACAGATTGATGCGAGATGCAATGGAGAAACGTTTCACACGAGTAACACGTGGCTCCCTCATTGGAGGGATGCGTCTTGGGATGTTCACTGCCTCGTACTTTAGTCTACAGAACTTTTTAGCTGAGACGAGAGGAGTGCATGATGTTTTCAATTTCGTTGGAGCTGGTTCAGCAACTGCTGCCGTATTTGGCTTAATCAGTACTGATAAAAATTACCTCATTTAGATTCAACATGTTACTTTTGTGTTGTCCTAACCTGTCTTTATCTCTAGTGCCGGGGTCTCTTGCTTGGCGTGCGCGGAATGTGATGCTTGGTTCTGTTCTTGGAGCTACTGTCTGCTTCCCTCTTGGTAAATTAGTTTGCATCTTGCCTTAACAAGTTTTCAATAATTGGCTTAAAACTAAGTGCAAACTGTATTATTTTCCACAGGTTGGTTACAATTGAAGCTCATGGAGAAAGCAAACGAAGGCAACAAAGAAGAGATGAGTCACCACTATGGCGAGGTCACGAGTGGTGTTGGTGCTGCTATTGAGAGACTCGAACAACAGTTGAGAAAATAAGTGAGAAAGGGAACGTTTACAGTTTTGTAATGCTAAATTTTCAAGCCGAAGGGAAATAAGATTTAAGAACATAAACACTGTTCTTTTGTAATTTTCGTACAATTTTGTGTGTATACAATATCAAAATGCTGATGGTTATTCTGCTTTTTTTTAGCACTTTTACATCACCAGGATTCAATTACACCATTTACTTCATCATAGCTCATACTCGAAGAAGAGCAGCGAAGGAAGCAACCTAGCAGTTAAAAGGTATCCACTAATGTAAGAAACTTGAACGATGTCACACACAGGTTTTGAGACAGACTATTAAGGTTTCCCTTTAGTCCATAGTATACAAATCTATACACTTTACATATGCATGTTTGGAGATACACCAACAAAAGACAATAGTTTTATCAATGCTATCAGAGATCATATTATTAGTGACAGAAAGAGGGAGAAGATATAGGAAGAAATCTGGGATGAAAAAGAAGTTTAGGGAGAAAGAAAGCTTGAGGTTGAACTTCTGATATTGGTTGATTCTATTTTGGATGAGAAACGTTTTAACTTTTAACAGAACAAAAGAACTTAAATGGAGATAATTGAGATAAGTGGGCTTCAGTCTACTTTCGTCACAGGCCCAAGGAAGACCCAAATATAAGTTCGTCTCATTTGTTGAATTAGAACTCGTTCTTTCTCATTTATCCTTTCAGTTCATTAAACTGTTATATATGCATTTTAATTTAAACCATTTCTATTATTCTGTATGCAATTTTTTTCTTTAAGCCATGATTGAGCGATTGCATAAATTTATATGGCTTGGCATAGATAGAGCTGAGAGTGACTAGATGAAATTAGTAGGACTTTTATCATACTAATTTAGAATAAATTTAGTCGTTTTTTACTTTGTATGATTTGGAAATACTTTCGTGAAAGTGTATATGATAAGTGATTTTGCATATTCATATTTATTTACATTTTGATCAATTAAATAATAAAATTGTATCTAGTTTCATATGATAATTGATTTTGTATATTCATATTTCCTTTTATATGATAGATTAAATAATAAAATTATATCCACCATATTTAAAATGAACTAAACTAGATTCATTTTATTTTCTGCAAGGCAGCTAAAATATCAAACTTACTGAATGTCATAGTGGTTGCTGTTTAGCAGTAATCATTGGGATGAATCATTTATCATATCGATTAAATAATAAAATTATATCCACCATTTCTTCCAGTGCACTAAGTCTGCATTACATTTCTAGGGAATAAAAAAAAGGAGAAGAAAGATGTGGAAGTAGATGTTGTCTTAAATATTTGATTGGTGATCTAAACAAAATAAAACTTATAAATAGTGATAAATATGATGGAAGCTAATAACAATAGTTTTTATATTATATGCATTGGATACATATGAGAATTGTAGGAAATAAAACAATGAATGTGATATATGAATTAGTTATACCATGTAAACAAGCATGTATGGGTTGGAAAATTTAAAGAAAGAATGTATGGGTTTTTTTTTTGACAAGACCTTATCCAATCTGGAGAATAAGAGCATCACTAGTGGTAGATAGTAGCTCATGATCATGAGTATCCAACATATATAATAATAGTATAATCATATTTCCTAATTAAATTTTGAAATAAATAAAAAACTAATAAGAAGGAGACATGTTGAAAGAGGAGTTCTTTACGTTCAGAGAATGATTCTTGTAGAAGGATGTGCCTCTTTTATTCTTACCATCTCTCTACCTATGGTAAATGGTGAGAGACTAACTTAGAATCTTCCACTAATTATGGTTTAAAGCAAGTGAGATACTCACTAAGTATCTCACTAATACAAAACCATTATGTTAAATAAAAATTAAGTTAAGTAACTAGACTAAAATTATTAACTCCAATGGTAGATATCTACTAAGTTTCTTATATTATAACATTATTATTTCTAATTTTATTTTAATGTGATAAATATCAAGTTTTGATGATATTTTTAGTTTCGAAATTTATAGTTTTAATACTGTTACACAAATTAAAAACTTAATATACTATTATGGTGTTAAACGTCAATAATTTCAATTTAGAGTAGTATTTATATATAATTTTAATATATGAAAAAGAAAAATTTTAAAATATTTTTTTTTTGAGCAAACGAGGATTGATTAAAGAAAGATCAGTCTACAACATCAGAAATAGAGGGATTTAAAAATAGCTGCTATGCCTCCCTCTGTTTTGGAATTTAAAAATATTTTTAATCACATATTAAACTTATAATTAAGATTTAAACTATATGTGTTCTTGTTTTATTGATAAATAATTCTTTCAAATCATAAGATGACAAGTGGCAGTTACCAAGAGATCTAAGGAGATCGGTGCAGAGATTCGGTTGTGAAGTTTTTGATAGATTTGGTTGTAAAGCTTTTGATTTGAATTTGATTTTTCTCGTTTATTTTTATCATCTTTTTGTTTCAGATTCTTATTTACATACTGTCAATGGACATGCTTTAAGATAGTCAAATCACTGATGAAGTATCATTGATCCGAAGCCTATATACATTTAATTAATCAGCAACTCAATCAATAGTTAATCTGAAAATGAAATGAACAAAAATAAGCTTTAACATATGCAACATAGTGCCCAGAATTAAATGTTGTTCCTATATGCAACGCAGTACCATTGAGATGAATCATATTGACATTTAAATTAATCAGCAATGAGTTCAAGAGTTAATTTGAAAAATGAAAAAAAAAATTTAAATAAACTTGAACATATGCAACATAGTGCACAAAATTAGATGATGATATGATCTTGGGCTGATTTATGAAATATGGACATTGAAGATATTCAAAAATTTATCCATAATATTAGCTAACATGTCCAGCCTATTTTTATCAAGTTACAAATTCAAGAAAAATCATAAGTAAATGGCTTATTTGCTATACAATAAGAGTGACGAAAGTTAGGTCTTTAATTACATAAAAAGCTTATGTCTCTTGCATGCAAGAAATGTTTATTTCAAAATTATTATCTCTCTTCCATGCATTGAATTTATCATTTCTTATGTATTAAATATCTAGCTTCTTTATTAAGTTTAGTTTTATAAGTTGTAATCTTCTTTATATAAAATAGAAGTTGAGTTTATATTTTTAGAACATTGAAAGTGTTTCTCAAAAACTGTTTTTGATCATGGCGTGTCATATTCATTGATCAAAACTTTCTTGATTGTTGGTGTATAATATCTTTCAATCTAATTTAATCAAATTTGGTATATCATATCCAAGAAAGATTGTTATAGGATAGTATCATGAGACTTTTCACACTTTCTGTGTCACCTTTCGACTCACATTTCTTAATCGTTTCTTATTTTCTAACTCATTCGTTGCAAAACTTATCCCTTATCAATTTCTGAGTGTATCTTTCAAGAGGTTTTCATCAGATTGTGTTCCTATATTGTGAACAATCCTTTAAAGCATGTATTCTAGTCGAGGATTCTGTAGTTTTAACAGAGTAACTAGAATTAAAACAAACATTAAATTTAAAAATTAAGTGGAAATTATCATGATCTTGCACCTTGCTTGCTTTAGTCAATTTTATTGAATATCATAATAGTAACTATAGTAGTAGTATGTGTTCATTGCAGTTTAGTCACTGGGCCAAATCAATATGCTGCATTTTTTTTTTCTTTATACTGCATATATTTGTTTCTTACACGAGGAGCGTTTGTTCGCCAATTCGACCTTCCATGTCAAGAGTATCTAACAATGACTTCGGATACAACATTCCCACCCACTTATAAATCATAATAATAAACGTGTTTTTTTTCGCTTCCCTAGAGTTTACAGGCCAGTTTGATTACAATTCACAACATTGTAAAATGAGAAAGATCAGGGTGACAACTATTTTGCTTAATCTTCTCAATCAACTCCAAAGTACCCTTCAAATTTCTTAATTGCACCTACGAAAGTAGATATGTAATACTATCACTCTTATTTGATATGAGCAAAGAATTAATCATATTTATAATTAAGCATGAGTTTGTTGCTTCACACTTTTTCTTGTTTCCTTACTGAATCTGTCATACAAAAAAAACCCCTCTTTCTACTTAAATAAATCTTCCAATCAACCGTGGTTTCTTTCTTGGCAAGCTACTACCGAGGACTCTGGTAAGACTCAGGGAACCATCTTTGAAGAAGCCTATGTTTTAGCTTTACCAGCAAGGCAAAGGCTCCATAGCATGGCAAATGCATCACCGCAACTGAGAAATACCTGAAAAAAAAGTTGCCACATCATTTGAATGTAATCAGCCCTAAATTTCCAACGAAATAATGGAGAAAATTCAACAACAATAGCAAAGCTTTTAAGTTACCATAGTGGAGCATAGTGTGATGATAAGTCCAGGAAAGGGTAAGGCCACCTATTGATTAATGTCAAAAGTTAAGAATGTTTACAGTAAAAAAAATCAGTAATTTGTATGAAATGTTACCATATATGGACTAAGGAGTGGAGAGCCCACTGGAATAAAACATAAGCTATAGTCCATGAGAAGAAGTAAGCAATTCTGAAGCAAGGAAAGCTCTGCAATAATGAAAATTCAAGAATCAAATAAGAATCTATATAAGAGTAATATAGCAACTACTATAGGAATCTGAGATTTACCAAAGAATTCAAAGCAGCATCACCAAGCAAGAAAATGGCATTAAGAGAATGCATGTTGATCACCAACTGCAATATTGAACATATAAACTTTTTTATATTATGAATTGATCATCAAATGTATTTTGTATAATGAATGGCTTATTAGATTACTTACAACATTGAGGCTATAATCATGAATCTCAAGGAAAGGAACAAGGATGAACCAAAACACACAGTCAGTGAGCAAAACTGCACCTGCATTCATCTATTCCACCCAATATCCAATCAAGAAACCATAAAAAATCTTGTGCATGATTATGTTTTGATAATTTTAATTACCTGAAAGATTATCTGGAATACATATCCCCAAAAATTAGCTGGATTACTAGAGTATTGACTCTGTTGAAGAGCATTATCAGTGCCTTTGGATCTTGCTCTCTCTGAGTCTATGCCTATTGCTTCAATGCTATCTACTCTATCACCAGCCGCGCTTTTGTTATATTTGTAACATCCATGCAGCGAAAGAAGTGAACCTAACTG